CCTGCACTGACCACCTTGCAGAGGTTTTTACTAACATCTTTAACCTCTCTTCGATTTCTGGGAGTGCACAACATGCCTCAAAACTACAACCACTGTGCCCATTCCAAAACAAAGAACTAAGAGCAGCCTAAATGACTATCATTCAACTACACTTACCCTGATGATAGCAAAATGCTTTGAAAGACTGATTGTGGCTCACATTAAGTGATCACAGCCACTCTGGACCAGAGTCAACAGAAGAAGCCATCAGCCTTACACTCTATACCACCTTAGAGCACTTCAACAAACAGGCAGGTACTGTAGAATGCTCCTCCTGGACTTCAGTTCTGCTTTCAATACCAGTGTCCCCGCAAACTGGTGTCCAAACTCCCAAACCGTCTCAGCCCGACCATCTTTAGGTCGACCCTGTATTTCTTAACCAACTATCCCCAGACTGTCAGGATGGGCAAATGCGCATCCTCCACCCTCAATGTACCAAAGGGATGTGAGCTGAGCCCTGTTCTGTAAGACCTGTTCAACCTTCAAACATGACAAACACCATCATCAAGTTTGCGGACAACACACAGTCATTGGCCTGATCTCCATTAACAACAAGACTGCAGAGAAAAAGTGTAGAGCCTAATCGCCTGGTGCCCCATCAACAACTTATACTACACAGCAGCAAAGCCAAGGAGACTGTGGTGGATTTCAGACAGTCAAGAACAGAACTTGACCCTATGTACATCAACTATACTCAAATGCTGCTACACACATACACACAGTCTACACATGCTTGCTAGCCTTCCTATTACAACTTCTGTGTAATAGCACTACACTGCTATACTGTGAAACTTGCACATACAACTTGTGAAGTCATTACTAAATTTTCATAATGTTCTTAACTTTGCACATACTTTTTATGACCTTGTACGTATTTTGTATTCTTTTATTCTATTAATTATTTTCTTCTTCATGTGTACTTTTAATTATTTGCATTTTGCACATTTATTGAATATTTTGCATGGACAGGGGTTGCCAAAATGTTGTTATTTTGTTGTCCTACACAACAATAACAAAAACACCAAACTTGAATCATAAATACCGGCAGTTGCCAGTGCTACCCTCAGCCTTCTAACAGACCTATGGTATCAGTTTCAAAATCCTGTCATCTTGTTCTCAAAGTATGGCATTCAGATGCACCTGTGGTATCAATTTGAAAATCCTAGGGGACTTCCCTCTTGCGGTATTGCATCCACAAGATTCTCAGAAGATTTGACCTCTGACCTTAACAGGGTAACAAGAAACCCCATCAGCCTTTTACGGCTGAGTGATAAAAGGAATGTCAGCAGCACCTGTACAACAGAGGCACTAGACTCAGACAGCTCAAACTGGGAGGTAAAATACACGTATTACTTCCCATTTGCAATTCAAAATTACTCGCCAACTGGCAAGGACCCTTTATGGCCATTTGGCGAGTGGGGGACATAGATTGTGAAGTGGGGTGGACACAGGATTGGTGCCACACAAGTATACCACCTCAACCTCCTAAAAGCATGGAGAGTGACAGAATTTTGAAACTTGTTGTATGCGCGTAAATAAAGAGAAAAACACCGAACAAAGAAACTTTATGCAAGGTACATATAGAGGGGTTCCTGTAGTGGCAAACTTGCTACTTTGCCCACTTAGCTATTTACATTTATAATTCACTGATATCTCCTTGAAGACTGCCGAAAAAGCTGTATGTGTAGACAGCGCACTGTAAGATACTACAAAACAGTGCTTCATCTGCTAATCCTCCTACCCAAATGTCTGATATGAAAATTATTCTTTGGACCCCACCAATGTGTCTTTGATTATTGAAGAGATTCTAAATTTAAAGATTTGTATTTTCAAATTTAGCTGCAACAGTTCCTTCCACAGATTTGCCAGGTTGTTATTAAGCCAGACCAAAGTGTCATTTGGACACCTTTTATCCTGTAGTGAGATTCCAAATCCACTGTCTTTAGTGCATTTAGTGACTGATATCCTTGTTCTGCTTTTGGGGAGATTTTCTGTGAGCTAGAGAACTGACTCTGCAGCTCACGAAGGCTGCAAGCAGAACAAGGACTACTGTTGCAAGGTGATGATATAAAGGGAGTCTTAAAGCCTTTAATCAAAAGGAAAACCCATGCCTAAAACAGATTCACATTACCAATACAATGTTGGACTGTTCAATTAACAGTTTCACCCCAAAACAGAAAAGTAAATAATTCTGCCAACATATCTGGTGCATGTACTGGGTTGTTTTGTTTTTTTCGCTTTTATCTGTAAAAACTGTTTTTTTATTACATTTTTTTTAGTTTGAATATTTCAATCATAGTAAGAAATCCAAAGTGCTGAACATCAAATGAACTTAATATTGCAATACTAAATTGACCTCTATGTGAAAATTCTGTTTTTATCCTGACGTGTCAGTTTAACTACATACGTTGCTGTTGCTCCATAGCAAGTTTGTACTTGTAGTAACTGAAGTATTCGCCCCCAAAAAGGAAGGAAAACTTATGGTTGTCCTTCTGTTTTTCCATCGTCATCTTCTCAAACTCTGGGCCATTTCGGGCAACAAACTGGGCCAGCTTATCAATCACATTTCGAAGCTCCTGATCTGTACAAAAAAAACAAAAAAAACCAGACATAAATACAGTGAAAAATGTTGTTGTAAAAACCTCAAAACAGAGACACTGAAACAGACAGAAATAATAGTGTCTAAAGTGCTTTTAAAAAAACAAATAAAACACATTTAGAAAATAATGAATTTCTTCTGAAACAGAAACATCTAGGAAAGAGGTTGCGTAATCATTATTTCCATATTTCTACATAGTATTATTAAATCAGTTGGCTGTAATTCTACTCTTAATCGTGCTGCTGTAGCACAAAAATATCTATAAGGGATCTTCTTTCTATGGGGGTTCTTTTTCTTAAAAGCCAGCAGCCGTGAAAAGTTGGAACAACTAACGTTTACTCTCCATTACTGGATTATTTCTACACTATTTTTCACGTTAATTGGTGCAATGTTTACACACAGAGCCTGGTTAAACATTCATCCACTTGTGATCGGTGACCTTAATCAATATGCTAAATCCAATGGTTTTGTTAGCTATGTAGCAGATAGCACGGGTGCTCGCTTACGTTGAATCGAAATTTAAAATAGCTGTGGTGTACAGCTCACCTTCGGGAGGACTGGGGATATCCATGTTTAACTTCTGTTCCAGCGAACCACTTAGCCAGAATATGTATGTAAAAACTCGGCCAAATTCTTTACTTTTTCAGAAAAAGGTATATCAAATTCCCCCAAAATCACTTGCATTGCCGCTGCTACGCACAGGAAATGCGATACAGAAACAGCGCCACAAAAGATGGCTATGGAATTGTCTCCAGCGCCCCCTGCGACTGGGAGGAGTGTTCGCGCCTTGCTCGTTTGGGTGGGTTGATGGTTGCAGTTGCGAGTAAACGTCCAAAAATGAAAATATTTTTATTTAACTATAAGTAAGATACTAAAAAAATACAACATTTTAAAATATCTTTAGTCCTGATATTTATTATATAGGCTTACAAATCCTATCCTAGAAAACATGGTTGAAACCCCGTAGTTTCAATTCCTGGTCAATATAGGAGGCAAAACCTTTGGACAGTTAGACCACACAAGACACTTATCCAGCTGGATCCAACACCCAGTCCAATGGGAATGCTGTGCTATCCAGCTGGTCATTTCAAATGACCCACTTGGCAGTGCAGAGCTATCTTTTTGTTTGTTTGTTATATGATCAGGAGCAAGAATCTACATATACATATTTTGAGCTTGGCAACACAGTGTTTAGCACTATTGTGTCACAGCAAAAAGGTCCTGGGTTTACATCCACAATCTCGCTATAGCCTTTCTGTGTGGAGCTTGCATATTCTCCTCTGGTTCTCCAGCTTCCCCCCCACAGTCCAAAGACATGCAGTTAGACAGATTACATTAATTGATGATTTTAAGAAGAATTAAAATGGTATTTACCCAGAATAATAATTAGATTAACGATATCAGAAATTTTGTTCTTCAACCCACTCATAAAAGAAACAATAAGTAAGCATGGAAATGTTGACTATTTTCAGATAGAGTCAACTGTAAATGTCTGACCAAAATAAACTCACATGAGGGCAATTTGAAACAGAGATGATCACCAGTTTCACATTCAGAAGTACAAAAAAATTACATGAGTCAACCTCAATTTCAAATCGCTTAAATAGGAAATCTAGGAGTGGTATTCAAATGTTCCTTTCAACAACAAATCATTTTATTATTTTGATATACTTTATACTTTATTAAAGTATTTAAATCAAGATTGCAGATTGCTAAAATCTGACATATCATAACATTTACAATCAGACCAGATGCGTTTGAGAAAAATTAATTTTGTTCCTTTAGAGATCATAAGTTCTTTTACAAAAAAAAAATGAAAACAACAACAACAAAGGCATATTATCAGCAAACTGACTAATTATAAATTTACTCTATTTTATTTAAATTCCTTGACTATCAGGTGAAATTTCCAAGGAAAATAGCCCCCAATAACCCCTCTAGAACACTGAGGTGAATAAGTCCTCGTTTTTACTTGAAGAACATAACCTAACATTAGTAATAACCGTGCAACTGTCTGTAAATTGTGCTACACTTGTATAGCATGAGCTTCTTTTTTACTTTATCTGTCCGACTAAAGAAAAAAGTTACACACACAACATTATTAGATTTTTTTTCTATTGCTACCTCCATTCCAAATATTGTAAAGGTGTGTGGTTTATGTTCTTAAATAGCCCTGTTTTTTTGTTTTTGGAGCGACATTTGAGTCTACACTCCATACCAGCTGGTGGCGGCAAAACACAATTTCGTAGTTTTCCAACCACCTGCAAAAATAACAAAAAAGAAGAAGGACACAACCGCTTCCTGCGACTGTCCGTGGATTGTGCTGTGGGGACCGTGACAGAGGTGTGTGAAACACTGTACATACTGAAGCTTGGTATGTTTAGACAATGTTTACACTGAGCACCGTTGTGTGGTGGAGTTAGTGAATACCGTGTGAGGTAGTTGTGAAAGAGTTCAGCCAATGATAGGCGATGGTTTATTTGTGGAAGCCGGTGTGCTCAGCGCGTGCTCCCGACTCAGGCGCGAGACACCGGAATGTAGTGAAGTGACAGCGGTGTTCACCAGGAAGGAGAGAAGCGTGAAAAAGATCAATAATACATCATATAAAGTACAGAGTTAGCTGCGGGCCGTGGACAGAAACGATATCTAAATACTATATCCTCCGCAGCTGGTTTTAATATTGGCCTGGACTCGAGGTATTTAGTCAAAATCCTCATATGTCTCGGTTATAGTCTATATAACCGTTTTGTTTTCACCTAGCAGTTTTAGATTTTTAGCATAAATAAGATAAATAAGACTTGAATATTAGTAAGACAAAAAAGCTTTCACATTGCTCTAAGTTTACAGGTCCAAGAGTCATAAGTGTGTTGCTCTCTTTCCAGCAGCATGGCTACTGTCGAGAACGTTGCATCAATAGGACAGGATCTGGTGGACCCGAGACAGGACCTGACCAAGCGGTTCAGAGCTTTATTTACCCTGAGGAACCTGGGAGGTAAAACACCAGGACCACAGAGTTTTTTATTTTCAAAAACTGGATAAATGACAAAAGCACTCAGCTAAGTAACAAAATAGCAGCAATCCGTGTGCCCAGTACTCAAGATTTGCAGTAATATTTAGGACTCCAACATTGGTTTGTAGGGGTGGGACTCACCCCACACATTCAGTTTCTTCTTTTTTCTTTTTTTTCAAATGTAGTTGTGGTTGTTTCTCTGTCCTTTCACTATATTTTAGTAGCCCCTATGTTTTCCAACAAAACTCACATGAAAAAAGTAATCTTTAAATCCCTAAACTTTGCAATAACGTCTTGCTCTCAGACTTGCAGCCTCCAGTCTTTTCCTCGTCGTCTGGTTGGCTCAATCACAGAAAGCAGCACTGTACTGTTTGAAAGACAAGACATTCAGTTTTTTCTTTTTCTCTGAGAGAGCTTTTTTTAATGTAAACTGAAATCACAGCACAGCTGTTGCATATTGTTGCAATATATTTGCTGTGACTGAATGCCTGTAGTGATTTTTGGGTGAACTAATTCAGGGTGTCATCTGTGTGTGTCAGGTGCTGAAGCTATAGAATGGATCAGCAAAGCCTTCGCTGATGAATCAGCCCTGCTGAAGCATGAGTTGGCTTACTGCCTGGGACAGATGCAGGACAAACGGGCCATTCCTACTTTGACTGCTGTTCTCAAAGATAAACAGCAGGAGCCAATGGTTAGGCATGAAGCAGGTAAGCATGCTTGATGAGGTTGAGGAGTCTGTGTACTACCAACACAAGTATTTTGACAGAGTATGTTTTATGTAAGCTCTGTGCTCTGCACAGATGGTGCGTGTCCAAGTGTTCATTTGTTGCTGCACTAAGTACAGAAGTTCCCAATTAATCTGCTTTTTGTATTTACAACACACGCGCAATACAGACGCACGTGCACTGTGTAAAATACCTAGAGTAGCAGAAAAGTAGAAAATGAGCTATTCTCTTATGTCATCAATTTTTTTTCTTAACAGTAATTTAGGTAAGGTGGTATAATTAAACAATTAAATAATATAATTTAGTTGCTCCTTCACAACTCTTATCTTTGCTAAGTACTTTGTGACAAAAAGCAGTATAATCGTATAATCAGCTGCTTGTCAATTGAGTCTGAAGCTTTGCCATTTTGGGCTGGTTACAACGTTGTTGTTTTTTTTGTGCTGCAGCCTTGTGGAGATGGAGTAATGACATGTAGACCAGTTTCATGTACTGCAGGTTCTGGTTTGAGAGATGCAATCCTCTCCCTAGCTTGCTCTGGTCTCTAGAGCACCACAAGGACCATTTATGTAGACAGTGGAGCTGGAATTCCATCCACTGCAGTACACAATCATGGCATCTGAATGATATCAAGGACTGCCAAAACAATAAATACTAAAATGAGTAGCCAAATATACTGCCCCCACATTAAAATGCTTTAGTGGTCTTTGTAAGGAGCACTAGGTGCCTTGCGAAAAGGCCACACGTTGGCAGAATTGTCCCTAAAGAAGGTCACGTTGAACTGAAAGAAACTGAGAATGTGCATTTGGCATGAGGGACTGTTAGTGAGCTAATATTTAACCACTCTCTTTCTGCTAAACATAAGTTTGTGTAGAAAAGTATAAGTTTTCATACATGTGTATGCAAACTCACAATACTTTCCTGGCGCAAGCATGATGGATGCTTTTCAGAAAATATTTTGAGACTTGCAGGATGCAAAAACAAATGAAAGCTGGAAACAGCGGTGCAGTTTTGAAGTCTGACTGCTATCTCTGTGTACTTGTAGGGGAAGCTCTGGGGGCAATTGGTGATTCTGTGGTTTTGAACCTACTGAAAGAGTACAGTCAGGATCCTGTCGTTGAGGTAAGAGCATATCACAAAACTTGCCTGCAACTTTCAACTTGATTTCCATTTTACCTGCTACAGAACAGACCTACAATTTAGGCTTTGACTAATTTAACAGGATATTAATTAATTTTGAAGGTAACTGAAAAACATGATTGACTGTTGTATTTGAATTGACTGGTTGTTGTCATGCCTTTATTGTCACATCACCTCCTAACGGCCATCTTTCAGGCTGCTCTTGATGTTTCCTGCTGCCTTTTAAAGTTTTTTCCTAAAACCTTTTACTAAGTTTATTAAATCTTTGGTGGTACAGAAACTATGCCCTCTACTTTGACATCTTCAACTCTATAGTGTCACCACTGCATTCCAATCCATCCCTGAAGCGTGGTTTTCCTTGCTAGCCTTTTTAAAATATTATCATTATTATTATTATTTATTTTTTTAGCCTGTTTATTAACTGCTTGCTGCTCTGACATTGTCTGCTGGTATACTCAGTGTTACAAGATGATATCCAAGACTCCGTCTTGTAAGTTGGGGATCAGCGCTTGTCTTGTTGGGTACTGCTGCTGCCACTGCCACCTCTATTTCTGCTGCTGTTACTGCTCCTACTGCTGCATCTGATTGATGACATGCTACTGTGCCCCCTAACAACATCTGCCACCACCTTGAGCGTCCTTTTAATTCTGGTGCTTGTTGTTGGTCGCTCTATGGTCTGACACATGGCGGTGCCCACATGAAGGACATTAAGACCACAAAGTCTCTGCAATAGTTGTCTGTCTTGGCACTAATGACTTAATATATTGTCAGAGAACCTCAAGCAAGGCTTTATACACCTCGTGGGCAGCCACTGGAAAGCAATCTGTCCTGTATCAATCATTTCCTGTATCGGTGAAACTTTCCTTAAAATGTGGGACTGTGGAACTTTGTCCACCCAATACTTAAATTCCCAGATGTGCTCAAGCCATGTTGGAATTACAGCAGTAGTTTACAAGGGTAACTAAAACTGTGTTCCATTTACTCCTGGTTTATTTCACTCCTTCAAATTGCTAACATTCAACATTCAGTGTGAATTTTCTGGTCTACTGGTTTTTATTCTTGGTGTATCTATAAACTCCCTGCAGCTGTCTGATCAATTCAATTCAAAACCCCAGCAATCATATCACCCCCTATGAGAAAGCGCTTTGGCAACAGTGGGAAGGGAAAACTTTCTTGTGGTGGCCGCAGCACAATGTGCCAGGTTTTGTCACAACGAAAGTCAGTGTGAGACATGGTGAGCATAATGGCCACATTAAGGCACAACCCCCACTAGGGTTTAAATACCTGGGACTCTCCACCATTTGATTTGGTGAGTTCTAAGTGAGTGGTAACAAAATCTTGCTAATTTTCAGAGGGTATACATACCATGTTACGGTCATAAAAACTGAATGTGAGCAGAGCAGCAGTTTGAAATTGACTGGTTAAAATACAGTCATAATGGTCCTCATATACTCATCATCTCATGTTGTTTTATTGTTTGTCAGAAACATTAAATATGTAAGTCAGAGGAACTTTAAGAGACGCTAAGCAGAGACAAAGTAAATATGACTTCAACTTTTGGAAGAATTCAAGTCTGATATGTCATTTAGCATGCTTCATACAGCATACAACTGTGCTTTATTTAGCACAGTCACACACTTGACAGTTAACTCACACCTATGATCTCATAGGGGGCAATTTTTTGCCTGGACTGAACCACTGACTTTCCCAGTATATAATCTCATTTGCCTCAGTATTCCAGTGTTTTAACTTCATAATTGGACATATTTTTATTTATAAACAAATGCCATTTATTATTTTTTGAGGTTTACATTTGGTGATAATTTCAGTTACTCTTGATACTTGAAACCACAACTAAAATTGCAGCTTGCACTCTCAATTATTAACACTCAGTTGATACAGAAAATGACATAAAAGTTGACATTCAATCTATACAGGTTGCAGAGACATGTCAACTGGCTGTTCGGCGGCTAGAATGGCTTCAGAGTGGAGGAGAGAAAACGTTGCAGGACGGACACACAGATAAAAACCCCTACTGCTCTGTAGACCCAGCCCCTCCAGCAGCAAGGAAGAGCGTGCCAGAGCTGCGCTCCGCACTGCTGGATGAAAGCCTGCCACTCTTTGACCGCTACCGTGCCATGTTTGCCCTGCGTAACCTTGGCACTGAGGAGGCTGTGTTGGCACTAGGAGACGGTAAGGTCCAACTTTATGGTAAACAATTATGGGAACATTTATTTCACTCAGCAGTCATCGTTAATCTGATAATACTACATGCAAACCATGGTTCTAGAACACTCAAGGAACTTGAAGATGTCGTTACTGAGCACCTAATAAAATATATGCATATATGAAAGTCAGTAACTTTAAATCCTTGTGAAGTATAAAAATAACTATGTAGAACTACGCAGGTGGAAATTAATATGTGCATCCGATTCTGTTTGCCTCCAGGCCTGCAATGCTCCAGTGCTCTGTTCCGTCATGAGATTGGCTATGTTCTGGGGCAGATGCAGCATCCAGCAGCAGTCCCAGCCCTCCGTGCAGCTTTGGAGCGTTCCAACGAGAACCCCATGGTCCGGCATGAGGCAGCGGAGGCTCTAGGCTCAATTGGCAAAGACGAGTGTCTGGCCGTGCTGCAGCGTTACCGTGAAGACCAAGAGCGTGTTGTCAAGGAGAGCTGTGAGGTTGCACTTGACATGCTGGAGTATGAAAACAGTGGACAGTTCCAGTATGCAGATGGATTGGTCAGGTTACAGGGTTAATTATTTAGGTCAGTACTGAGGTCACCTTGTGTTTAAAGGTAATTAAACACAATTTGTGGCTAACAGTAATATTTTCTTTACTTCAATATAGCTAAGTTGAAAACCAAATATATTAAAAATAATAATAATAAAGGGTGGAACATGGATAATATAGGGTCATCCACCCTAATAGCCTGTGCCTTTGACCAGCTGCTGCTCTTGCCCCATCATTCAGCTGCTCCTTCAAATCATCCCCAAGTACAAATATGGAGGAGAAGCCGCCCAGCCAACAGCAACATTGGGAGACGTGCACAGAAGCAGTGGAGTGAGTAACGAAGGACTGCTATAACAACCAGCCAGCCTCTGTTGTATGGCACCAGAAACAGACTGGTGATCAGGAGATGAATGAGTGTGGTTTGTTGAGTCCTAAATTTTAAAGCCAAAGTAATCAACTCTATCCAGCTTGCATATTGAGTTTTTTTTATGTCCAACTAAAAATCAGCCCACTCAAAAAGATCATCTGGAAAAGAGCAGAGTTCGTTTATTGAATGGAGTCATATAAACGATAAAACGGACTGTCACAACCAACAGAACAGCAGGACAACACAAAGCAGTGCAACCCCAGGCTATAGAGCCTTCCACATATTCACGTGCAAAAGACAAAACAACACAGAAGAGAAGGCAAAATAAGAAAATGGGGCAGAAAAGCGTGGCAAAGAGAGAGCGAACCCTCCTGGACCCTCTATTTTATTGAGTAAGGACCCTCTGCTCAATCTGAATTCATCCTGCATTGTGGTTCTACAGTTTGATGCAAACTTCTCATTTTAAACTGTCTGCTACAAGCATTCGTGATGTGACGTAGACCTTGATTTGTCGTGCTTCTCTTGGTACTTTGCTCCTAAATTACCATGGAGCACAGCTTGCAGTTTAAATGTAAATTTTTTGTTATTTACAGTCAACTGTATAAAATTAAAATGATCTTACATACTAATGTCTCTCCTGAGTTTCACGAAGACCTTCTTCCCTCAAGTCCTACAACTCAAATTCTCATAACTGCTTGTGGTTTTGCACATCAGATAATTAAAGCTTTATTTGTAAGCATCAGTAAGTAAGCAATAAAGTACAGACTTCATGCCAAATAAAGAATCCTTATTATCACGCCTGTCAGCGTAGTCCAGAGTAGGTCTATTAAGACATGGATGAGTGAGTTTGGTGTGTAAGAACTTCACCTGCACAGAGTCCCGATTTCAACCCAATCGAACATCCCTGGGGATGAATAAGAGCAGAGACTGCAAGCCAGGCATTTCTCACAAAGCCCTTTGGTGCTGCAGGTGAACACTATCCAGGTACAAAAGGACAAATGTGAGTTGTTGGCAACTTGTACCACTGTTGCTGAATTTTGGAAAGTGATTTATGTCTAGGTGTAGATTTGTGTTGATGTTTAATTAATGGAAATTCCCTGCATCCTTAAAACTACAGAATCCAATTTGTCCAAATTGTAGAGATTTAAAGTGGATTATATAGACTAGGTGTATTAGAATAGACCGTATACTTGCAGTAAAACAGCCATTTAGGCTTTAAAAAAATAAAAATACAACTCAAAATATTTTATACATAAAATAGATAATATAATGTATCTATAAAATGTTTATATAATGTTTTATATTCAGTCGGGCACATTTGTTTTTGATTGTTAGTTAAATATTTTAAAATGTACGTATTGATCTTTCAGTGGTTTTTAAAAAAATTCTTTTTAATAATTCTTATTAATTAAACAATAATAACAAGAAGTATGATGTCTTGTATTCATTATGACGGTATAGTTTTAATTTTCCAAACACATCCTGGTATCGGATAGCAAAGGCAAGCAGTGGTGTCGCACATCACTAACCGCCAGGGTGCATCCGCGAGCCTAGCAACCAGAGCCCTATGTTAGCGAGCGCCACCGTTACAGTAACCATAGCAACCCTTGGAGTCTGTATACGGCGGTACATTGAGAAAGCGGTAAGACAAAATTGTGGAAGTCTTTTCCACGCTTGTATAAACCGTTACTCTGTCCATACCTCAGACGTAGTTGACGAACGATGGACGGAAAAGAGGAGAGAGTGCAGTCAGCTGCCGCGTTCAAGTCTTATATGTTGAAAAACAGCACGAAGAGCAACCTGAACCTGTAAGTTACCTTTTTATAGTACTAGCTAGTATCTGATGCTCTCATGACCTACTTGTCTGTTTGTTAATTTATTTCAATCATGTAAACAATGTGCACAAGTTCATTTAGAAAAGAAAAAAAAAGCTATACAAAATAAAGCCAATACATTTCAACATTGCTTCACCGGTTCTGATTCAGTTACAAATCGAAAGCAGTGGGAAGAAGTGCACAGTTATTTAATCCCACCCATTCGCAATACGTTATCGGTCAATATTTAATCAGCTTCCTTGCTGATGTAATCTAAGTTATAATAATGAACACATTTATAATATAATATGATATTTACACCACATCGTATCATTATGTTTTGTGATTCCATAGCTTTGCCTCCACACTACAAGACCAGTACCTCCATTTTTGAAAAGTTAGCTGTACAATGCAATAAGCATGAATAAACTTTCCTAAACAGAGACATTCACTGAATTTCAACATTCTCCCTTTCTTTATAACTCCTTTGCTTAATTCGATGTTATTTGATCTGTGATCCAAATGTAACTAATAACATATATGCAAAAATGTTTGAAACATGTTAAAGCTGTATTGGCACCAGGGCATTATCGGGCTATGGATAAGATTTTGTAATGATATCCAAAGCTGTATAACCCCTAGATCTAGTTCATTCTGATTTCACTGAGTTTCGTTCCCTTCCGTGTCCTGTTTGACTTGGTCTCTGTGGATCCTCCCCAGCAATCCCCTATGTGTAGCATGTTATGTCTGGTTGCGAATGTCAAGTTTTTGTCTCTGTCTTGTCTCCATGTCTCTCTCCCTCTTTCCCTGTCATTCTCTCTCTTGCTCTCTCTCTTGCTCTCTCCCTAATTACTTACTGTGTGTATATATTGTCTCAGTTTTCCGTCATCTGATGATCCCTCGGGATAAAACCCCCATAGATAGTGGTCTGATTAGTAGATGTACCCTCACGGCATCCTGAGCCACAACCACTGGAACTGGTGTCTGTGACTTATTTAGTGACACAAGAGCTTCTTTTTCACTCTAATTAAATTCTGGCTAAATGTTTACATGTTAACTAGTGTTGTGCTGCCCATGTGAGTTGCCAGGGGAAATGCACCTTTAGAGGTGAGAACTTCAAAACTGTTGCAAGACCAAATCTTGCAGCATTTAAAGATGCAGTAAAAAGAAAAGGCAGTTTAGATGAAATAATACAGCAATACAACAGAATAGTCTCATGAAAAACCTTTGAAAAAATGTCTCGTGGAACCATATGGTATCTGTGTATTAATATGTGTGCTAATATGTACAACTAAGATTTATAGGTTGATATGTACCAAACTGTGTAACTGATGTTCTAGTTATGACCACCTCACTCGCTTGCTGACGAAGTTGATGGATGAGCAGCCACAAAATGCAGTGGATGTGATAGAGGATATAAGCAGTGATGTAAAACGGGGTTTGTTAGAAGAGATGCAGAGCACTCTGCAAGATCTTCCAGAGACTACAGCTGATGTGGAGCTGGCTAAGCAACAGCGCCTGCTCTTTACTCGGCCAAAAGATGTGGATCACGAGGAGGAACTGGTATTGACCACACACACCTACACTGTTTGTTCTACAACTTTTATATACAGCAATCTGTCCCTTTGTTAAATGCTAAGGTGATGGATATGAGGTTAGGTTGTGGATCAGTTCAATTCTGTTTTATTTATATAGTGTCAAATCACAACAACAGTTGCCTCAAGGCGTTTTATATTGTAAGGTAGATCCTACACCAATACAGAGAAAAAAGAGAAAACCCCAACAATCATATGACCTCCTATGAGTAAGTGCCTTGGCGACAGTGAGAAGAAAAATCTCAGTTTTAACAGGAAGAAACCTTGAGCAGAAACAGGCTCAGGAAGGGATGGCCATCTGTCATGACTGGTTTTGGATGAGACAAAGACATGCTGTGGAACAGAGCCAGAGATTATTAATAACTAATAATTCACTGCGATTGAACTTCACCATTGAAGTGTGTTTGCCTTGCTCAGTTCCAGGTTTTTTCCTCACCATCAGAAGTTCTTGGTACAAGTTGGACTGTAGAAAACATGAATAACTGTCACTTTTCATCAGCTTTAAGATGTGGTGCTATCCTATGCTTCTTCATAGCTGTGATGTCCAGGGTCATTCAGGTTTTGACTGGTGCATTTGTAGCTGTGGGAGTACAGGTTGATAGAGCTGGGCACTCCATCTGTCCAGATGTCCTGCGGCCTCTGTGCAACTTCCTGTTGAGGCCTCTTCTTTAACCTCTGTACAACCAGCCAGCGCCTGAGCGTTTCTGGGCTAAACTCAGATTCTAGAAACTTGTCCTGCTGGATCTTTCAAGGCCTCCTCTAGGGAGAAGCCCCACTTCACCCTTTCTTACTGAGCTCCTTACTAGCCTCCAAATCCCAGAAAGTAGAGTCATCACTGGTCTAGGGGTTGGATGGTTCTGGTGATGTCAAATGGGTGATACTCCAAGTACTGGTCAGTGTATGACAGAAGACAGAGGAAAGAAGAGAACGAGGCATTAGTTTGTCATATTTTTAGAGACAACAGTGACATGCTGACCATTAGAGATTGTTAATGAAAATATTAATATTGAGCTACATCGTTTTCTGCAGTAAATCCTCAGGTTGTATGAAGGTGAGAAAGAAATACATAGCCTCTTCTCTCTATAGCGGCAATATCCTTCCAACCCTGCAATGCATAAAGTTCATTATATGTAGTTATAACTTTTTAATTGACATTTTGCAATACATGAGAATTTGAACTATATACATAAAAATAAAAAACATTAAAAAAATGCAGATACTTCATTCACTAGTTTTTGATGCTTCAATGAGCTCTTTAGAATGATGTTCTTTTCCAAATGTTTGTAAAGGCAGCCTGCTTCATTAGGTGATTGATTTTATACACCTCTGTCAATGGGATTGAAGAATGTGGATTTTAACTTAT